AGAGGCAGATATATCCCAGAATGCTTTGCGTGGAGAGCTATCATCGTAAAGCACTATGTAATTTGCTGTCACAGCATCCTGTTGTCGCTACCAGACAGCGGCGACTGATAACAAAGATGGCGCAGGCACCACACAGTGGAGGAGGAGTTACGTGAACAACGGAGCAAAAAGCAGCAATCATCTGCCCAAACAGTCAGTGAACTGACTTCGCTATAAAGTCCAATAAATAGTCCCTGCTGTATGTGGACACAGTAAGCTTGTATGAGCTATGAGAATAGCACATTTTAAACAGGACATGCACAGGGAGAAATGGGCTTATGCATGCTCTTGCAAGCGCATTTATTTTTTAAAGTAGAGAGGGCTGATGTTTTAAAAAAAAATCCCCCACAATACCTTTAACGGTTATGTAGCCAAAAGAAAACTAAAATGTTTGATTGATTCTGATATCCTATAGGGGCAATGTTGATATGAATCAATACTCTAAGCCACAATATTGGTATAGCATCAAAAATGAAAGACTTTTATTGAACATGGGAAACTGGCAGGTTGGAAAGATAAAAGAAAATGTTAAGATCTTAGGAGAAACACCACTTCTTAGAAATTATGCATATGGATAAAATAATAAATACATAAAAACTTTGCAGTTCCTCAAGGGTCCACTTTATAGCCACTTTTATTCATCTCTTACCAAGCTGACAACAAAATGTTTTATCTTTTCCTGTATGGCCACAGCACACTACAGCCATTCCACCTCAATAAGACTGTGGTAGATCTTTTATTATTATGTGCAAACCAGTTAGCGTCTCATTCAACTGTCCTTACAGTTTCAAGGTGGACACTGAAGAAAGCAATCCAGAACCAATTAACTGTTCAAATGCTTGGAAAATTTTATTGCCAATAGTATTTGCTAAAATTCCCTGAAAAATGGGACTTATGTATTATATTCAATTAATAGAGCCTTTTTCCCCTCAAGCCAAACATTTAGCAGGAGAACTTTGATACAGAGCAGCAGTACTCACCCATAGGAGGTCCATAGGGCGCCCGAGGAGGCATGCCCATTGGTGGAGGTGGTGGCATATTTGGAGGAAGTGGAGCTCGCTGAGCAGATCCTGGGGGAGCAGGAGGTGGAGGCACCATGCCAGGAGGAGCAGGAGGCGGCATGGGCATCTGTGGCATACCTGTGGAACAGAATCAGATCCCATTTCTACCTTAATTTGTAGTTGCAGGAAGTCATTGTTGGTTTTTATAGCAATGATATTTCTGCTTTTCACATGCTTTCAATTTAAATTTAATCTAACAGATCCTATAAAAACCTTACATAGAAGTCTTGATTGGCAACCACAGAAGAAAGCATATCTGCATGTATGAAATGCAGCTGATTAATGTCTCATGGAATACCTGGAGGCATGTTGGCTGGGGGGAAAGGCGGTGGTCCAGACAGAGGTCCACCAGCAGACACTGGTTGAACTGGTACTGCATTTGGAGGCATAGCCATACTAGGGGGCATTGCTGGGGGCATTGTTCCAGGGGGAGGAACAGGAGGAAAAGCACCAGGAGGAGGGAGACCTGAAACCAAAAAAGTCTAAATAAATGGTAGAGAAACGTTTGGCTAAAAACGTGCAACATTTTTTTAAAGTCACAATTAAGCATATATTTTTAGTCATGGTTCATACCTGGAATGGTCATTGCTGTTCCCATCGCAGTCAGGACTGCCGGTGCAGTCACTGGTGGTGGAGCATCGGCGAACAGCTGATGCGGTCTGTCAGCCTGGGACAGGGGGTTCTGTGCAGCCAGCAGTCGCTCGGCGGCCGAACCGTGTCGCTCTCCTTTGGAATCCTTTTTAAAAGCGTAGGACACCGTGATAGGCCTATTGCAGAGGTACTGGCCATTCATGGCCTCGATGGCCGCGTCCGACGCATCAAAACTGGCAAAGTTAATGAATGCATAGCCCTTCGAGTTTCCTGTGTCTGGGTCCCGCATTATCTTCGGCGTTTGGAGAATCACACCAAAAGCACTGAAAGTGTCATAGAGAAGTTTCTCGTCTATCTCTGGGTCCAAATTTCCAATGAAGATGTTTGCACCAACATCTAGGTTTTTATTGTGTGCTGAGGCCTTATTGACCCTAATCGGTTTTCCATAGAGCTTTATCATATTCATGATTTTTATGGCATAATCAGCATCTTCTTCACTGAGGAACTCCACAAAGCCATACCCTGAGAAAAAGAAAAATAATTACTTATTGACAGAGTCAAGTAAAACACATCTTAAAAGTCAAAAATATTTCAGAGTTTCAAACTTAAAAATGCATGAAGTATGACACACAAAAAGAACTAACAACCAGCATATGTGTTGTTTATACAGAAGACCAGTCTTTTCCTATTTTTCTGTAATAAGTAAAAAAATCTGATCCATTCATATTGGGAATTCACTGATCCTTACTTGTATTCGCATCCAAAAATTTGCTCCAATACTGAAAAGATACTAGCATAAGTTCCCTTCTAACAGCAAGTTTGTAAAAACAAGGGGAACCCCTTGGTTAGATTAGTATCCAGGCTCTGGCCTGCAAGAAGAGCTTTTCTGGTTGGAAAAACTCAGGAAGCACAACTAAAAGCAGAACTGTCTTAATGAAGAAAAACCAAAAAAATATGTTCAGCAAAGTTGTCAAGAGAAGTAAAAACACTAAATGCACCCAAGCTACCAGATTTAAGGTAAAAATCTAATTTTCTCTGCTTAGCATATCAGAGAATCTGATTAAAACTCTGCACTACATCTAAGCTTTTATTCCGCATTCAGACCGTTACTTGGATTCGGAAAGTACTAAAATGTTAGTACTTATACTTGGGCTGGCAAAATCTTGTATTAGTGAAGCACCTTATAATATATATGCATGATTTGTGATCTTGAAGCATTGAGTGCTACAACAGATAGACAAATAATATAATATGGCAGAGTCAGCTCAATTGCCCCATAGAAAATAGACTATGAGAGGCAGATAAATAAAATAAAAAAAACATTCTATAAGTGGAAGAATGTTTATTAAGTGAACTAAAGGCAGACTGGGCTCACCACGCAGAACTATACTCATAAACGTCTCTAACACTCCTTTCATGACATGTTCAGTTTTCATCTGCCTTCTCAGGTCCACTCAGATTTTCATTCAAATCGCTCTCCATTAAAATATTTACATTCTTCAGAACTTTTAATGTACACTGAAAAAAATAATAATGTGCAAATTGATACAGACCTTGATGTTGGCCAGTGACTCTGTCTTTGGGCATGTGTGTGTTGACCACAGGACCAGCCTGCAGGAAGAGCTCCCACAGTAATGGCTCTGACACCTTTTCATCCAAGCCGCCCACATACACAGTCGCATCTGAAATTTGAAAAACATTTATTTTAATTAAACACATCACAGGAGTTTTGCAAGCAACATCAAGCAGGTCTGTTTAGCTGGTGTCTTGAATAGGACTTTTCTTTCTATCAACAATAAAAGGCTCATTGTACTGAGTTCCAGGTCACAGAAAACAAATGTTTATTTTTTTCTATTTCCAGTACCAAAGCCTGGGGAATATACTGATCCTTTTTATCAGTCTTAAAGTAAAAATGATGTAGCGATCCTTCTAAACTTTTAAATGTTTACCCCAGCATGTTAACTTGTATGTTGTTATCTTTATTAAAAACCTCTTTATGTTGCCACATTCTTAAAATTCTTTGTTTTTCTTAAATTGAAATATGTTTTCAATAACACTTTCCCTAAAAATATTCCTGATAAAATCTTGAGCAACAGTTTACATCAACTAGTAATCAAGAGTACAAAGGCGTAAGATTGTTTACCTACTAGAGCAATTGAGTTGTGCTAAAGGGTATTAAGTTGCTAGCTCTCTAAGCTACATTTAAATGCTAAAAGTAAAACAAAATTTCATCTAAAATAAAAATAAAGCCTGCGTTCTCCGACATGACAAAAATGAATGAGCACAAAAGCTAACTAGCATTAAGCTAGGCTAAAAGACTAGAAAGCTTCCATGTGTTCAAGTAAATGATTAACTGCTAAGAAAAGGGTGCTCAAAACCCCAGGAAGTTATTTTAAGACATATCAGTTTCTACATATCAATGCGAGGTGGTATAAGTCGTCAAATCCATGTCATATTTTTAAATTACCTTGATTTCTTTCCGAAATTGGTCCCGCGGCCATGTTGAATGTCCAACCGCCAGCGGAGCGTCAAACCGGAAGCGTTCCTACTTCCGCTACTGGGTCAAGGCATTTCAAAATAAAGTTATCTACAGAAAATATATGTTTTCACCGCTTTTAACGGTTTTAAATTAAGATTAAAACGTACCTAAAAACATAAACAATACAGTAAATTGCAATAACTGTGGATAGTAAAAAATAAGACAAGCTACATATTTTTTCATTTATTACATATTGATATAAATCTATAAACACAGAATACAAAAAGTTCATATAAAATAAACACAATTGGCCCTCAAAAAGCAACTTTAAAAAACAACACTGTGTATAAAACATGATCAAGCAAAACAAAATCTAAGACATCATGCATCAAACCCAACAAATCAAAGAAATGAAAAAAATAAAATGTGTTCTTTTATTTATAAAATGTGTAGCAACCCGATATCAATTAAAAAATACTTACGTATAAAAACAAAATGAATATTTTTTTTAAATGGCTTATATAATAGACAACACTTAAAGGGCATATTCTTTATAATAAACAACAGAAAGAAGAAAATTAAATCACAAACTTATTTTTTTAACAGCTTGGTGAAATACAGTTTGTTTTCATTCATAATTTCCTTTCTTTTTTTCAATAGATTACTGAAAAACCACACACTGTATATTGCTTAAGCAAACATGAAAATCTACAAGAACAAAGTCCTAATTAAACCAACACTGCGGCATATAAGGGGAACTTTGTCATATAGAGGTACATGTGTATATTGGTGGACATTTTTATTTTTAAAAAATCATTTTTAATCTAATGCAAGTAGATTAATGTGTCAAAAATAGAACATTTCTGTAAATGAAAACAGGAACAAAGCAACAGGTAAAACCCCAAAATTGCAAGAAGTCACTTCTTTAATTCAGAGAATCGTATATAAATAGTATTTTTATTTCTGTCTTTCTAAGTAAATTAACGTAATGATTTAGAGTTTGCAGGCCTCTGGTTCTAGTTTTAGTGATCTCATCATAATTGTTTTTAATTTCAAAAAAGTCAAATAATAAGCCCAAAGGAAATAAAAGCTGCTCTAAAAATTAATTCAATTCAGTCTTTCCCCTTTATGTTTTAAAAATACCATCTCCAAAAACATTAAGGTAACAAATTTCAGCTGTTGGTGATTCGGTTGGTTTTCAGCAGGAGAAAAAGTGCTTTGTTGCTGTTTTACTGTTTGCTTCCGGGCTGCATTTTCACCATTAATCAGTCAAACAATTTCTTTATTCATATGCATTCTTTCCAAGGTTAAATGTCTTCAATTTTATGCATGTAGAAATATAGTTTAGAAAAAGAACTATAGAAAGAGTTCATCATTTGCTGACTTTAAACGGTTCAGAGAACAAAATCTGCTCTGAGTATCTTCAACGATAACACCAAGATCTAAAAAAAAACATTACTCAGGTCCAAGGTGAAGTTTTGACTTTCTTTTTTCAAAGCCCAAAACATGGCGAGAAAATACTAATTTATTTGCATCTTATGAACACTGACCTTTTCAGACTCTGTATTGATGTAGAAATGGTCAATAAGAGTTTAACAAAGTAGCTTTATCAGTTATAAAGTTGATAGCACGCTATAAGTATACATTCGGCAAGTGTCAGGGTTGTAAAATCATAGACAAATGTAAAATAAACATAACAGTACAAAAAAAAGTCTTTAACTAGACTTTCGTCTCTGTGTGTAAACAGAGCTGTCAGTCAAACGTACCCATATTGAAAATTCCTGGAATACAAATATTACTTTAAGGGTAATTCAAAAAACTTAATTTTGGAAAAAAAAGCTTAGATAAAGTGTTTTTTTTTGTTTGTTTGTTAGTTGTTTTTTTGTGATTCAGATCACATTTTTTCTTTAAATCTGGCTGGATTTAAACATTCAAAAAATATGTGTTGTCAGGAAGCAGGAGTTGGTTGTTTCTGGCCTCAGTTGTGTGCACAAATGAGGCATTAGAGATCAGACTGTTTGGGAACAAACAGCATTTTTCGGTGGAGTTGGAAAAGTTAGGCGCGATCAATTAGTTATGTCAAACTAGGTATATCAAAGTCATTTTTGATGCTCCAGGTTCAAATAATTTGCTTGCTTATACTGATTCTGAATCATTAGTGACTTTTAGTAACTGATTCCATTTATACCGGATTATATTCATCCCATCAAATCCACACCTGAATCAAATCTGTCTGCACAGTTTCCAGAACTGTGGCAATGTAAAAACCATGTGACAAGTTTTTATTTTATTTTGTTGTTTTGTTTTCCAAGGATAAATAAAGCAGAACAGCTTCCTGGGATTACTAGGCACAACGAGTTTGATAAGTGTTTCTTTTTAAGGAATAAAAAAGGAAGCTGAATCCTGATGATCCTGGTTACAAAACATCTTAAAAAGCGATCAACACTGTTACCAGGAATCCAACTGCGTGGCGAGGGGGTTGATTTTAGTGCGATGGCAGAGTGGCTGCGTTGGCTGCGCTGAGCTGACCCACAGCTAACATCAGGATGTCTTTCTTTTCCTTGTAAAAGCGTAGCTCTCTGCCCGCCAGCCTGGCGTCCTCCAGCTCCCGCTCTGTCGAGGCCAGCTCCTGAGCGATGGTTCTCGCCATGCTCTGTTCCCGGTTCACCCAGTCGGCCGCCATCTGGGTGCGCATGTCGTCATCCAAGGCCCGATGGGAATAGTGAGCCAGTACCTCCTGCAAATAAGGGTATCATGCAGGGCTGGTCAAAGAACTGTTTACATACACATGCTATTATTGCTATTATTTGAGTGCTTTAAATTATCTATCATTTTTATTTTTCCAAAGTTTAATAAAATCTACCTCAATATTTTCACTTTTGGTTTCAGCTTTTAATTGTCCAACTGTTAGCCTATCAAGCTCTGCTGGATTAGCTCTAGCTGTGCAGCACTGATTTATCATATTCTCACCAATACTCTTGAATTTACACTAATAAACTAGACAGCACAGTTGTATCAGAAATTGTAAAGCTTATATTTCCTTTAACATGCATGGCTTTTCTGTGGTTGATTTATTTTAAACAGGGTCAACATCAGGTGCATTCTTAGAAAGCTTATAGCTGTTTGATTAAGGCACAGTTTGGGTTATGATTACTTCTGAAACTATGGTTCTTTCAATGGGTCTAGTGAAAGTGCTTATTTTATGCTCCACTATTTCTCATTAATGCAGTGATTAAATGTCCATTCAGAACAATGGCAGAAGACTGCTGGTAGTTTTAAATTATGTGTGGTTCATTTGCAACCAGCTGAGGGATACTACACCAGCTTTAAATGGGGGCTTATGTACACAAACGTTTGACCCTCTGTAAATAAGACCCGCTATTTATTTTTTTTTAATAACTGTACCTGTATGTTGTGTTACCATGCTAGCATGGAAACCAAACAGTTTTATTGAATCCTCAAAGCTTCTAAATAATTAATAGTATTGCTAGTTACTCATATTTCTATGTCCTCCCTGATTTTAAAATTTTTCGTTCCAGATTATGAAATAGTATTCCTTAAGTTTTTTTTTTTTAGACTCCCCTGCCTCTTTGAAGATTTTTATCGTGACCCTTTTTTATTCCAAACGGGAAAGAAAAGACTAACCCTGGAATAAAAAAACATTCATGTAGCCCGTGTTTAAATTATAATTATTCTTGTGTAAATAGAAGAAACATGACTGAGTACCTGTCGGGAACACTGTCGCTCTCTCATGGCTTTCAGGCTCCCGTTCCAGTGCAGCAGCTGAAACACGGTCATCAGCTCCTGCAGTTTAAAACATATCCAAATAGTTTCATTTTGACTCACTCAGCTTTTTTTGTTGTTTTCAAATATATATATTGTGAAACATTTATTTAATCAAGGCACTTGATCTGACATTGGAAGGAAGGAAGGAAGGAAGGAAGGAAGGAAGGAAGGAAGGAAGGAA